GCTTGGCGCATATTTCATATTTTCATTCCGGCCGGGTGTCTTAGAAGTACGGGGTACAAGGTAGGTAGACATACATAGCCCTATGTATGTCCGTCGGAACTATGTCATGCAAGTTCGTGCATCATGCATACATACGACCTCGGGATGTGGATATCGATATCGATCTTGGGTTACATTGGACGCCTTACTTCACCGCTCTTTCCAGGTACGAGCTTGACATATTCAAATTGTTGATAGATCATATGCCTTTCCTTTCTTACTACACACGACCACAGAGGTGTTCATAAAACAATTTCATCATTCATCCATTGCCATCGTCGATACGAATGGCTTAGTAGTTGCCCCGCTCGTAACGCTCCTCGTACATGTGCTCGGCGTTCTTCTTGGCGTGGTGATGGGCCTTCTCGCGGTCAACCCAGTCCATACCCTTGGTCTCGGCGAGCTTGTCGATTTCGCCGCCGACGATGCCGGCGATGAGTTCCTTGGCAAAGGCGTGGCTGACGGGCTTGCCTGTTTGTTCAAATCCAAGTCAGAAGATTGGCCAATGATAGATCAAATTGGGAATGTCATGCGCTGTGTCACGTACCCTCTTTGCGCTCGTGGTCCTCGTAGGCCTTCATAGCGGCAAAGGAAGCGGCACCGGCAGCGAACTCGTGAGAGAACTTGCCCTCGTGATGCTCTTCACCGTTGTACACCTCCTGGTGCGCCCTCTCGGATTCGTCTGGCTTGGCGTCAGCATGGCTTTCACTTGCATGGCCAATGGAGTGGTCTTATATCGCCGGCTATGCAGGTCGGGTCGGGCCCTGGTGCATGCAAGCAGCAAGGAAATTTGGACTTACTCCAGCCCCAAGCCATTGTCTATATAGATAAAAAGGAGGGAAGTGAGAAAAAGGTTGTATAGTGATGGATGAAAAGAAGAAGGACGTAGTAGCGCGGGGCGATGAGGGGATCTTATACCCACGCAAGAGACCACGGAATACTCTGGAAGGGCTACGTACTCTACGTTGTACTAAGATTCAGGAGTAGCTTTCTCCCCTCTGTCTCAGCTCCGAGTTGCCCCACCATCTAATCTGCGAGAATAGTGGCTTGGGCGGTCTCTACAACATATGTATGTTGTATGATGTAGATATGTCAGACGATGGAGTCAAAACGCTCCTCAGCACACGAATCGGACACTTTCATAGTATTGACCCGTGGCTGGTGAAGGAGATGCTTACATTGTAGTTGTTATTGTCGGATATCTCGGGCGATGAGGAGGCAACTTCATTGGGAGCTGCGGATCACTGCGTCGCTAGTCTACGACTTCATTGGGGGACCACCAGTGAGGACCGCCGGTGACGGACACGGAGGACTTTCTATCATAATCCCCGCCAGGAGTTGTTTTAGCTTTTACCGAATCTCACCTGCACTGATTTTTGGTCCGCGGTACCGATGTTTAGTCCAGGGGTTACCCAACCTTCCAGCTCGACAACGCACGACTTGAATCGTGCTACGCCATACACTGTTATGCTGTGCTACCAATTCTAGTTTCCGGCGAGATGGTTTCCAACGCCTTGGACATACAGGATACAGGGTACACTTACCCTCGCGCTCGGTGTTACGAGTACGTGTCCCACTGATATCCAATAGCGCGCCGATCTGATGGACCCGAATGGGTCGTTTCAGCCCTACTCCGCTATGAATGGACGAATAAGAAGATGGCACAGACAAGACCAGCTCCCATTGGAGGTCAATTATACGGTTCTCATTACGCAGTTGAAAACTGATCAGCCTGGTTTAGCCGAGCCAAGCTTCCCTTCAAGGCTTGTCGTCGCCTTATAAGTCTCGGCAACACTAGCCACGAGCAAAGTGGCGGTGAAGATGGAATGTCGGGTCTAACCCTTGTAATCACGTAATGAGCACTGGCTTCATAGAGGGTATATTGAGAAATGCTTTGTATTAATAGAAAAACGGAGTCAAATTTGTCTTCTAATAGAATACGGGTGGGCTCGGCTCACCTATCTAGGCACTTCACACCAATTACGTACTGGAACATCTCGGACGTCAAGCCACACTTGGACTAAAATAGCACAACAGCCTAGGTACATACCCATTATGATTATGATTTCAGTCAGCCCATGATCAATAGATTGCCCAGGGAGTGTAGGATAGAGACATACAATTCCCGAAACTAACATGTGACTGTTTACTGCGAGTATGTATTGGCCACTTGCTTAGATGCAACACAACATTTGTCAGATCATTATACTACCTAGGTAGGTGGTAGGGCATAATGCATAACGTAAGCGCAATAACCAAAGAGTCTTTCTCCTCATCAAACGCTTGAAGATCTCAATATCTTGATCACCACCAGGCAACCACAATACCATCACCATACACTGCAAGTCAACTCTCTAAAATTAATTGAGATATTTGCTTTGTAAGGACAGCATTACACCTACTCTACAGTATGCATTAATATATTGTACATTATACGGAGTACTCCGTACCGTGTCCCTGATGGGGAAGGAACCACAAGCTGAGCTCTACGCCACATCTACGAATCACAGCCACACTCTTGAGACATTCTCTGAGCTCCAAGCTCCAAGCTCCGCAAGCTCCGCAAGCTCTAACTGAACCCACGTCAACTCGACTGGACTCAACTCTACGGAGTACCCAAATTCAAAATGCCCACCAAAACACCCACCCCATCCGACTTCCCATCTGAACTCACCGTCACCGTCACACCCGCACCACCTTCCCCCACCCCCCTCCAAATCCACATCCCCAGCCCCAAACATCCTCCTCCTACTCCACGGCCTCGGCGACACAGCCGCCTCATTCACAAAATTCGCCGAAGCCATCCGCCTCCCAGAAACAACCATCGTCACCGTCCAAGGCACAGCCCCACTCCCCTTCGACCTGGGCGGCTTCCACTGGGGCGACGATGTCTCCTTCGACTCCGCGACCGGCGCACTAGACATGGACGCCGGCCTAACGCGCAGCACGAAAATCCTCGTGTCGGACGTCGTGCGCGGCACGCTCGTACAGAAATGCGGGTACGCGCTGCGTGAGATTATGGTGCTAGGCTTCGGGCAGGGCGGGATGACTGCGCTGGCTATTGCGCGGGAGATCGGGCTGAAGGGAAATGGTAATGTCGGTAGTGGGGAGATTGGTGCTCTCTCTGGAGTTATCTCTATCGGAGCGCCGTATCCTTTGTCGGGGTCTAGGGTCGGGGATAAGAATCGTACGCCGGTGCTGCTGGTTGCTGGGAGGGATTCGGTGGCGGTTTCGGATGAGGCGGTGCGTAGGACGAAGCAGGTGTTTGAGTTTGTTGAGGTGAGCCGGTATGCTAGGAAGGGGGATGGGATGCCGTCGAGTCGGGAGGAGATGTTGCCTGTTATGCAGTTCTTTGCACGCAGGTTGCGGAGTAGGCAGGGTGTTCCGGAGGGGAGCGTGGAGATTAGTTGAATATAATATTACCTGTGTATAAAATTGAAATATTAACGACCTGCGTTTGCTGTATTGGATATCTGCGTGAGACATGAGGTGGAGGTGAGCTGGAAGACGCAATTGGTATGCCCTGACACCTGGAAAATGAGTGCTTGATGGCCTCGATTATAGGGAATGGACGTATCAATTATTAGTGATATCTGTCAACATTCTGTACGTTGTAGGATCTGGTGTAGTTCCAACTAGTGGCATAATCTATCAAAGAGGGGTTACGGCGCCAATCGACCACGCACAATTGGTCGGGTTCTCGCGTCGATTTCGATCACATCCAAGTCATCTGATCTTAATACTCTTTAGTATAGGCTTATTGCCTAGAAGCTATGAGACCACATCTCCGAAATTAACTCCTGGGGAAGTTCTGCATACACACACAAAAAAGGTACGTACCCATAATCCTTAATATGAAATCAAGACTGACCGCATAGAACAAAGATGGCCTACAACCTCTCAATAGAAGTCTTCGGACCCGGCGATAGCCCCACACATCGATCGCACTGGGGCTTTATGATTAACAAACCCGGGAACCTGGAATTCGGCGATCTGCTCCAAGTCGAGGTCATCGATTCAGACAGGTTGTGGTACGGATTTGCGCCTCGGTACGCCACGAAGATCATCGACAAGGCAGCCGTGGGCATGTGCAAGATTGCCGATCTGACGTCTCAACAACGACACGATGCGATCAGGGTTATTGAGAAGGAGCCTGCTCCTAGGGATTCAATTGGACGGTGTCAGGATTGGACTTTTGATGCTTTGCTGTCTTTGGAGATTGAAGAGCTCGTTCCTTCTGGTACTTCTGCGTTCTGGAAGGGGATGATTGGGAGACAGGCGCGAGAAGTTGCGGCAGCTTGTGGTACGCAGTGGACTGCCTTTGCTTGATACATACGTTATGTGTTATGTTTTGATGACCTAGACGACGGCATAGCCCTGGAAGACCGGAGGTATTGGTGAAGAAAAGATAATATAGTATTTGTAAGAAATCTTCTCGCAAATCTAGTGACATCGTCATTCTATATAAAACCTCTACGATTTAACCATAATACCTTAGAAGCTCAATTAAAGATGGGGGGTAAATACCCAAGTAGATGGTTGTTTCTTAAACTCCGATCTTGGGGTAGACTTTTATTGATAAACAGGCGGGAAATGCTAGAAATAGCCTGCATCAAGTTTTGAAATATATATATATCCAAGAGGAGCAGGTGCAACAACCAACTCATATAGACAATGCGATGAAGCACATAGGAGAGAAACTGGTGTTCCCCAAAGCGTCTACTGACGTCTACTGACACATTTCGGGAAACGAGGCGACAGGCTGCCCGACGATAGAATCATCCTGCAACAGAAGGGTCAGGCTGCGAGCGATCGCGCCCAGAGGCAATTTGTGCTTGGCCATTTGACGCCGCAGAGCAAGTAGTATGGTGTAGCTTGATCAAGGTGTCTTCTCCCTGACCGAGCTACACAGTGTCTTTAGGCTGAACACGCTGAGTGTCCAAAAGATGACGTCCCTGACGTCAAACTGGAAATTCCGGATCTGGATACTGGCCCAAAACCAGATTGCTAGGACCGAGGCCATGTTCCAGGGATTGACTGGGCCAAGGTGATTCCTGCAGATGACTCTCCCAGGGGCCATGGTACGCGAAGAACATATCGTCCTCTACGGTCCATGAAGGGAAGACGTCATCATGCGGCTCGCCAAGAACGAAACTAGCTGGATGGGGGTTGACCACGGAAGTTGTTCGCACAGATGGGTCGTCATATATCCCCGGAGAGTGTACGGGAACATGCTCGGCGCGGGTGATCTCCACCAAGCCGAAATATGGAACCGTGACCTTTCGACTTTCGCCTCTGCCCAGTATCTGGCTGCAAGAGATCAATTCTGCTAACGCAGTATGACACTGTCCACACAGAGACTGAGGTTTCCCTTCCGAGCATTTTTCAAATATTGCGACAGTTCGACTGATGAGCATTGTGTCAGACTCCAGCGTGGAAGGACTCATCGGGTCTGCTATGGACCCAGTGGTTGGATGGGCACCGGCAAGAAGGTTCAAGAACAAGATTACGGCGGCGGCTAGTGCAGTAAAGCTAGTCAATTTCATGCTGTTGTCCATGACAGCGGCGGTGGGTTCCATATCGTACAGAGCAAGATATGCCTTGAGCAGGGGCCGGGCACTGTTCAGGCAAACGCTTCGCCCATAGAGCGAGTTTTGGCTCTGCGCCAGCTCCTGCTTGTGCGGATCACACTGCTGCAAGAACAGAGGCAGGTATAAGAAGGTTTTAAGCTGAGAGATCTCGGTGATCCGATAGAGGCGGGCACTTTTCTCGTCTGCGTCAGGGCATGCTGCGATATGTGGCATGCTCAAATAATCCAGTGGAAGCTGGGCTGTGATCTTGTCGATCTCTTCGTCTACACTGACCACAGTACTAAAAGAATATCCCATTGGGGACTGCAGGCAGTCGATGACCCGGCCGGTTAAGAGAACCATATGCCGGTGATGGAAGGTGATAGGGGTCGATTGGTTTATTGGAGGGATCGATAGATAGCACATATGATCGGGCACCGAATCAGGCAGTCCGATAAGTAGACTTACCCAGCGGTCGGCGCTAAAGAGCTGCCAAAAAATCAGATCTGGGGATTCTGACCGCCGGCGCGATCGATGAATCCCCATCAACTGCAGCAAGGCATTGGCTTTGCGATAGACCAACCATGCACGACGCGGTTGGAGGGCACTGATCAGACAGAGACCTAGCCCCATCAGGCACTGGAAATCATATTCGTGAGTCGTACAGGAGTTGTCAGAGAGCATCCATCGCTCCACTGGACCAATATATCGGCTGTAATCACCTGTACTCAAGGCAAAGCATAGGAGCAAGCTGCCAAGTAAAGACGGATTCTCCGAGCAAATGGCGCGCGTAGCAAATTGTGTGAGTGTGCTGTCTTCCATCTCTCCCCAGGCGAGCCCAAATGACTGGCGCCATGTCACCCACCACTGGTTTCGTGTTGTGAGAATTTCTGCGATGTCAGATTCGGAGGGCAGAGCTGCACACATCTCAGAAAGTGCAAGGAAGTGCTTTGTCGACTGCGGAGACTCGACTTGAGTCTGAAGGGGTGAAGAGCCCCCCGGGTCTGTGTCTCGTTCACTGACTTGATTGAGCTGCGGCTCCGTGCGTCGACTGATCTGCAATGCCCTCGATCAGCTACCACCCTGCGAAAGCCAGATCTGCTGCAATTCGTACTAATCGATGGTTGAGTAATTTCATAACCGGCGCGCAGTTGCTATGCACTGTGTCGATGTCCAAAAGAGGCTCTGATAGCTCCTTTGCAGCGTGGGGCGGAGGATTAGCTCCAAATAAGACCTCGACGTGGCATCGCAGTTGATACAAGGCCTGGAAAAAGGGCCCAAGGCCCATGTCACCGACACTTGTTGTGCCCAATTGACAAGGAGGATTCGGGAGACTAGCATGTTGGACGTCACCCTGCGGAATGCAGGCGGTCTTTCGTCGGACACACTGGACGCAACTTGCATGATCCGAAGAAACCCAACAGCGTACCTTCCGACGACGGCCTAAAACGTCAAGCGTCAGTGGAGTTCCAGTTTCAGGGCTCCTCAAGGCTTCAACTACTCCAGGGCTACAATCGATACTTACATGGAAGACAGCTATGTGTGCCCTTTCTCATTTGCTTGGGCATCCTTAGCCAGCTAGCAAATCATGCTTCCAATCTTATGACGTACGGATGAGCGACTGTGGTTTGCTTGGCCGTGGAAAATAATACAATCGCGCACGGTGGGAGCATAGACCAGAGAGATACGAACTGCGTTTAATTTCTTTCACCGCTTCCTTTTAAAGGGTAAACAAAGTGGAATTTCACATTGGTAACTCATTCGACGACGAAGCAAATCACTAGACAGGAACATAGATTTTGAACACACATCTTCTCCAAGCGCCCGGACAAGCCGAACAGTTGATGAAAAAGGAGTTCGCGTCGATTGGGGGTAGTGTAAGCCCAATGACACTGTGCAACAAGGCATGTGCAAGCACAGGGGCCAAGTCGCGGGGACCAAAAATAGGAATAATCAAAGTGTTTCCTGGACGGAAACTTTCAGAGATTAAACTGAAAAGAACAGATACTACACTTGATCTAAGCCAATAGGCAAAGAGAGCTGGAGAAGAAAGAAAAGAAGAGGAAGTTTGGGGGACTGGAGGACTTACTTATACCCTGAGGGCGGTGTGATTTTGCCACAATCAACAAACGTGGCAAAATCTACCAGTTGCCACCGCCTTGCACTCCGCCTTCCACCCCGCCTTCCACCACTTACATTTTGCCCAAGTAAGAGACAACCTTGGAAAGCACGACGGGAATGGATGCTTTTGACGGTAACCAACTACGCATTCCCAATCAGAATAGCCCGGCAGTGTTCCAAGGAGTGCCCGACGAATACAAAAATTCTAGAGGGGAAAAATTGCAAAAAATGTCAGATCTATGGATCTTATAAATAGTCATGCAACATGGATGATCATTTCTCGTAGAGAGGGATAGAATACGGAGTACAGGTGCTGGACCAACAGAAAGCTGTGGATATTCTGTAGTTTCTCGGGTATGTGGTCTAGTGATAATATTTCCGAAATTCTTCGTCTTCATCAAGAATCGGCCACAGCGGCGCGGCAAGTGTGAGGTTGACATCGATGGCGCTTGGCATTTTGCTGGCGGGTTCTACCGTCCGGTTCAAGTCCTCCTCAGTTGACAAAATCAGAGCTAGGCCATCCACGCGAGATATCTCTGTAATTGGGGGCGTCACTAGAGCAGGATGGACTGGTTTGCCCTCTCCGTCAACGTCAAAGTCGACACCGACGTACATATTGAACCCTGACCACTGGCTGACTGTAAAGTTGCCGTCCGCAAATGTGAAGTTGATGCCGATGCGACTTTTGTCTGGCTGGACGGCAACCCATCGGGTCGCCTGCTCCATCTGTTGCACATCAATAGCACGGACCAGATCATGCAGCGCTTTCGCAACCATCCAAAGTTCACTGTCCGCCAGCAGCTCATGCGAGAAGTTGGCACAGCAAGGGTAAATGGCGTTCGGGAAGTAGTTTGGGCCCAGGTTAAAACGTCTAGCGTCACGCATGTTGATGGAGGTGAACAAACCGCGGCAGATTTTGTTCGCCGCTTCAGTGGGAGAATCGCCCTGAGACACAAGTAGCTGATGCCGCGCGCGGTAGATTCGCTGATAAAAGTACGCGCTTAGGGCTTCGAAGGTGCTCACCCAACCCTTTCCACTGGGGTCAGTCGCCAGTTGTTTCAAGTCTCGGAGATGACTTCCAGTGAACCGCAAAACTCGCCCGGCGACAGGCGGTTTCGCAGTCTGCGTTGACGGGACAGATTCTATCGGCTTTCCATGTTCCACCGCCTTCGACGCTGTTGGGTCCTGATTTGATGCAGCCAGTGTGTACGTATTTGATTCGTAGTCAAGGGCCTCTTGCTTTTCTTGTGGTGACAGAACACTCAAGTCCGAAAGATATGATCGGATCACAGGCGGACACCCCAGAGTAGGATGTGGTGATGTTGCTAAGCCCCGATAAATTTCCGCCATGTCTCGGACCAGCTGGAAAAACCCACCTGAATCACACACGATGTGATGCAAGCGAATTCCAAGCACCACTCCTCCACAGGCGAATCGAGTATGCTGGATGGCCAGGATTGGGTCCCGACACACACCATCTATGGACGGATCGAACGGGGCCAGCAGTGCGGTGCCACAGTCTGGCAAGTCGGTCACCAGAAGGTAGTGAGAGGCACGATCAGATGGAATGAAGTCTTCCAACCGGAGGTTGCAACTAGCTTCACGCAGCTCAGCGCCTTTCCCTATGCTAGTAATCTCAGGGGCATGTGTCTCAGAGTTGATGTGTAGACGGCCTGTCAAATGCGGATAGTAATTGAGCAGGTACGGCAGTGCCTGTCGCAATCTCTCGATCTCAAGGAACTTATTTTCGGGACTTGAAGCTGGGTTGCGGTAGACAAACAGAGTCTGGATAGGGACGAATGGGAGCACGAGCTCGTCCAATGGGCCCAGCTTGAAGGGCGACTCGAGTGCTGTCATTGAGCCTTCATTGGCACACCGTATGGGATATTGGGCAACAAAGTGTACTGTGTCAATTGGTGCCATCTCGGTTGATGACGAGTGTGTCATCCATGGATACTACCCGTAGACGCAGAGGAAATGTACGTTTTAAGTCTTCCCTGAAACCCTTTTTAAGTGATCAATATGAGTTTTTAAAGGAAAACAGGGATAGGCCCAACACTGCCTAGGTCCCCTATTCCGAAGTAGGCTCAAGCCCATCTTGTGATGATTCAGAATGAGTCGAATGCGACGAGGGTTTGGTCTATTATGCCATGACGTCATTCGTCCGAGTTTCTACTAAAATTGTGGGGAACAACTTCGGACGAAGAACTACCTAATTGCCCAAGGTGGGTATATCCAAATAGTCACTTCGGACGAACAACGGTGATGGATTCAGACCCAAATGCGTCATAAGAATAAATTGGCGCCACTTTAACGTTGTCCATATTTCCGTACTTTTAGTGAACCATCCCCTTTTTGCACGTGAAGCAGCGAACTTTCTTTTGATCAGGTTCACGACTCCAGACTATAGACCTTGAGATCTTCCGAGACGAAATATGCCAATCACAGTCGGTGTGATCGGTGCGACCGGCACAGCAGGTGGGAACGTGGTTGAAGGCCTACTATCTTCGTCAACAGATTTCGTAAGTCAACTACTCTGCAAAAGGGAACCGAATAAGACATGCTGACCGATTATACATGCGGTTATATCGTTCACACGAGAGACCTCTATCAATAGTCCCGCCAACCGCCAACTGAAGGACAAGAATGTTCAAATCGTCGGCTATGATTTGGACGGTCCCCAAGAAAAACTTGTGGAGCTACTGAAGGAGGTTGATGTCCTGATCTCCTGCATTGCCTGGGAACATCTCCACCTCCAAATTCCATGGATCAAGGCTGCCAAGATAGCCAACATGAAGCGTTTTGTCCCATCTGAATGGGTAGGACCGGCCCCCAGAGGGGTCATTGATATCAAAGACAAGGTCGGTTGTGAAACTTCGCTGGAAGATGTTCTAACCCGACAATGAAGAGGAATGATGAACTAATTAACATTAGAAACTTGAAATTCTCGGCGAGATCCAACGTAACCGCCTACCATACACCATCATTGACGTGGGCTGTTGGTATCAGGTCTGGGTTCCCAAAGTCCCATCCGGTCGGACCGATCACGCGCACTCGCCTTACATTGACCATCGTGTTGTGGGCGACGGCAATGCGAAATTTGCTTTGACTGACATGTCGGATATTGGCAAGTACGTTGCGCAGATCATAGCGGATCCACGAACTATCAACCGACGAGTGCTGGCGTATACCGAGGTTTTGAGCATGAACGAAATCTGGGACGTTATGGCAAGAGTTACCGGAGAACAACCTCCTAAAGCCTATGTAGGTCCACCTAGACAAAGAAGAAGTACACATGCAGATCATTCACTGATAATTATCGTCTAGGTGTCAGAGGAACAGCTGCACAATATCATCGCGGAGTGTCGGAACCGACTCGAGGCAAGCTCCTTGTCTTTCTCGGACTCGAGTAACATCATGGATACGGCCAACTTCAACATGGGCCAGTACCGAATCTCTTGGTGTGTCCGTGGCGACAATACCCCGGAATATGCAGACTATCTTGGGTACCTGAATTTCTGGGAATTGTTCCCCGAATTCCCTAAAGGCAAACCCCTTGAGGCATTCTACAAGGAAGTTCTCGGTGGCGCTGCGTCAGACTTAGCAGCTACTGCTCAGCCTGACGATATGTAAGCATGCGCATAGCTGAAGATGTGCGAGGCGAGGAATAGAACAGATTGTGCTTACTAGACGCGGATTTCAAGCGCAATATGCACGTTGAAATTTGAGGGGCTCCCCCACCCGCTCTTGATCCCTTCCGATATTCTACCTTAGACCTAGCAGAAAAAGAGTGCAAAGAAGAAGAATTCTGAAACGACCTGCGGCACCTAGGCCTTGGATGTCTTGGGATTTTTCTATTACTTATGGAGGTACAAAATAGTCTGCCACTTATGCGGCTTTGGGAGTCTGTAGTCAATTTTGTACCATGCTCGGCAAAATGCGAAGATAAAGAGGGACGACGCAAGACTTGAAAGGCCAGCGGCCAGTCCCGAAATGATCGGATCGAAGTTGGCCCTCCACGACACGTCCGGTAGTCTGGAGAAGGAACGACGTTCCCTCAGCCCACTGAACGGTCTTGTCGCCCCTTCGGCGAAGAGTAAGCGTAGGTGGCATTGAACCCCCGCCCGGAGGATTGGGAGGAGGATTGGGAGCAGGACAAGGAGTAATTCAAGGAATTGGCCTCTGATTAAGTCCTGACCCTTGGAAACAGGCCAGATGAGCCTTGGCATGAAAGCATCCCGTGGGAGAGAAATGGCGGGGAGAGGAATGGCTGATGGCCAAGGAAAGGTAGTTACGAAAGTTGAGGGAGAAGTAGTGGCACCAGTGACTTGGTACCCAGCATAGCACATAGTCGATCCCAGAACGGGCCTGTTCTTTTGCTTCTAATCCTTTTGCACCCTATGGCTTCCAGATCCTCCTGCCACAGCCCATTGCCACAGCAGGCTACCAAGTGGTCGTAGGTTGAGGAAAGGGGTGTAGGCCTAGGAACCTTTGTAGGAATACGCAGCTCTCGTTCAGGCTAGGACACCGTCGTGTGTGATGTACATAGTATGTATGATTGAGATATGAATGAGTTCATATTCGAAAAGGCTTTAGCGTCATCTTCGGAAAGGGTGATATTATCGTCTCGCAAAGTGATAAAAGCTGTGGGCGTATATCTTTCCTCTAGCCTTAACTGCCCTTTCCAGGGCAGCTTTCAAGGTAGGAATAGTTACCTTTTCCGAGTTAAGGCTGACAGGGATTTGGGATGTCGGAGACATGGACGAGGTCGGAAAGGTGAGCGAGACAGGAGTTCGACACCTCTTGGATTCCAGAGTGGGGTCATGATAAGGTGGAAGTTAGAGAAATGTGAGAGGAATGCGAGAGGAATGCGAGAGAAACCTGAAAAGGTTTTTACCCCGACGTCGTAGATATTTGTGTCATTTTACCCAGATATTTGTGAAAGCAAGAAGAGGGTTGGAATTAACATAGTACCTACATATGTAGGTATGCTTGTAGGTATAGATAGTAGGAACGGTATGCCTATTCCGGTGGTTGATCGCGGGAACCCTATCCGATCCCTCCAACTCGGATCTTTTGCCGATGTTCCCCGCAAAGTTGTGTATATTAAAGTGAGCAGCCTATGTGATCAATGCCATTCATACATTTTCATATCTCTATTTCAACAACCCAAACATCCAACATGGTTGAAGTTCGACAGTACCACCTGTTCCCAACAGATCTCATCCCAAACTCGCCGAGGCCTTTACTACACTACAAGAATGTCCTGGCTCGGAAACCAAGCAGCTCCCATTGCGATCCAGCCGAAGTCTGGGACATGTTCACCCAAAATGGGTGGAAAGTGAACTGGATATTCCGATACAGTGAGACACAACTATCGCACTACCACTCCAAGGCCCACGAGTGTATGGCCGTCCTCTCGGGCACCGCTAAGATCCGATTCGGCGTCGCCGACACATCCGACGATCTATTCCAAAACACGCGGGGTTCCTCTTGGGAGGAGGGTGGGGTCGAACTGGAAGCGGAAGCTGGCGATGTTTTTATTATTCCTGCTGGTGTGGCGCATAAGACATATGACACGAAACCTGAAGCAGATTTCAAGCTCTTGACACCAGGGAGGGGACATGGTATCGAGGCTGAGGACCCGAAGAAAGCGTTGGCAGATATTCAGCTATCTGGATACACCATGATGGGAGCTTATAACGGTGGTGATTGGGATTTCATCAAAAGTGGGGGAGACTTTGAGAGAGTATGGGCGGTTCCGAAGCCGAGTCATGACCCTGTATTTGGAAAGTCAGAGCGAGGACTTTGTAGGACATGGCGTGGAAGTGGCGGCATTGCGTCTGCTCGTCTGTAAGCTGAGTTAGGGCTATAGCCAATGCATTACAAGAAAGATTTACCTTTGAGCTCTCAATCCGACGACCTGATCCTCAGTTCATAGACTGTAACAGGCTTGATTCAATTGTACTAGGCCAACATACCGTTTATAACAATCTTCAAGCAAGAGAATCGGTCCCGTCTCGGTGGTGAAACGCACTGCTGGATCAGACCCGGGCCCGATGCAGGACCACCTCCTATTGGACAACGCATCGGTCCATGGCAGGCACTCCGGGCCCGAAGCAGAATCAGGCCTTGTCATTGGTTGGCTGGCACTATGGATGGGAAGTATAAGTATACTCCAACATATCCCAGACCACGCCCCTTCGTACTCAACTAGTTGAAAGAGCGCTTCGATATAAAGATGAGCAAGATGAGCAAGATCAGTGACAAACATTCAACTTCTTCCGAGGGGTCGCCTTTTCCTGGGAAGGAAGCGGGAGATCTCGAAGCGGGCCATGCAGCGAACAGCTTCCTCGAGCCATCCCTCGACGCCGAAGTTGATACCGATCCTAACCTCGTCACTTGGGATGGGCCAAAGGACCCAGAAAATCCCAAAACTGGCCTAAAGGTCTGAGATGGAAGAACACCTGGACCGTCTCTCTCTTTGTCTTCATCTCGCCCGTATCGTCGTCAATGATTGCTCCCGCCAAGGACGATCTCGCCAAGTCCTTGGGTATGCACACGGATATTGAAATATACCTGTCCTTGAGTATATTTATTCTCGCCTACGCCATTGGTCCCGTCTTCTTCGGTCCGGCGTCGGAGCTCTACGGTCGGGTACGATTACTTCAAGTCAGCAACGCGTGGTATCTGGCCTGGAATATGGGATGCGGTTTCGCCACGACCAAGGCTCAGCTTTTTGCTTTTCGTTTTCTAGCCGGCATTGGTGGCAGCGCCCGCTAACTATTGGGGCCGGAGCCATCAGGTAAGAGAAGGTCCGTAACAACACTTGAAAACCCACAGGCTAACCGGATTGGTAGCGATATGTGGACGGCGGAAGAACGTGGCAAGGCCATGGGTGTCTACACTCTCGGACCGCTTCTGGGACCCGTGATCGGACCGATTGCTGGCGGGTTTATCGCGGAGTATTCAACCTGGCGCTGGGTATTCTGGGCCACCTCTGCCGCTGCCGTCGCAGTGCAGGCGGTTGGATTCCTCTGGTTACGGGAGTGCCACCCAGACACGCTTCTACGGAAGCGACGAGACCGTCTTGCCAAGGAAACAGGAAACGAGAATCTCCATACCGCAGAGAGGGTTGAGACACTGGGTTACAAGCTTCTCCATGCCTTTGAGCGGCCAGTGCGGATGTTCACGACGCAGCCCATCATCTTCTGTATGGCCATCTACATGGCATACCTCTTCGGAATCACGTATCTGATGCTTGCAACCTTCCCCGAGATTTGGACCAAGGTCTATCACGAGAGTTCCGGGATCGGCGGTCTCAACTATCTTTCAATTGCCATTGGATCCTTCACCGGGCTATTCTTCAACCTCAAACTTGTTGACCGCATCTACAAAAGACTTAAATCGCGAAACAACGAGGTCGGCAAGCCCGAGTTCCGCATGCCGTCGTTGGCCGTCGGCTCGGTGATCAGCACCGTTGGGCTCTTCTGGTATGGCTGGAGTATTGGGAGGACGCACTGGATAATGCCCAACATTGGCGCGCTAATCTTCACCATGGGCACGATTTCTTGCCTGCAGGGTATGCAGATGTACATTGTCGACAGCTACCAAACTTACGCGGCCAGCGCCGTGGCTGCTTGTGCCGTGCTTCGCAGTTTGTGCGGCTTCGGATTCCCGCTATTTGCCCCGTACATGTACAATGCCCTGGGATATGGATGGGGCACCAGTGTGCTGGCTTTCATCACCATGGCCATAGGTTGGGGGGCGCCGTTTGCCTTCTGGCATTTTGGTCCCCAGCTCCGTGCTATTACCAGATATGCCGCGGGCTAAAGAGGCGGGATTTGGGGTTGGTGTCAGGACGAATTAAATTGGAGGCCATGGTTGTCGTAAGGTGTAAGGATTTCCGGCTGGGTTGAATCAGCCATGCGGAGGTAGCACCTGGTTGGGCGGCCGGACGGACTGATGACATGGAAGGGTGAAATGACTTGTGACCTTTTGTATTTTATTAAGGTACCATAGACAGTTTGCTTCTGTGTAAATTGTGAACAATCAGTGCTCACCGCTCAGACTAGTTCCTTGCCACATCTGGTCCCAGAACAGCCAATCCGAAGAAGAGTCGAGATTAAAGGCGTTATGTAAGTCCAGGTCGGCCCCGTCCATGTCATCGAAAAGCTCATCGAAGCGAAAAGCACCATCTGCAGCCGTCTCATCCGACAACTTGCTGCCTTGCTGCCGGTTAGTGCCTCTAGGTTCGCGTTGGGCACGCAGGGCAGTGATGAATGCTGGCTCGGGGGACGACTGGCGGGGCGGATTTGCTAACCAGGCCTTCAGAGTGACCTTAGCGATCGTGACGTACAGGGTTCTTCGGGCCTTAACGAGTTCGTCGTGATTGGTGTAGACATCCGCAACCCTGCTCCATGCAGCGGAGAGCTCGGAGGGCGAGTAGAATCCCACCTCTGCAATGCTTCGGAGAACACAGAGCAGAGCATCCCACAAGAAAAATGCCTGCGTCTGCCAGCGGAAATTCTGAGTGCTGTGGTTGCTAAAGATGGCACTGTTGGTGTCGAGCACCTTTTCCGCAAGGGCGCGGATGTGTCTCCGTTGGGCGTCGGTGATGGTTTGTTGCTTGAGTAGCGGCATCCGGGCACGCAACCGGACGGAATCAATGGCCGAGCGTACAATGCCGGTGGTCAGAAAGTGCAAGGGATTAATGATATCGCAGTACCGCAGAAACTTGGTCTCGATGAGGTCTTCCACCTCGTCGATCAGCCTCTCAATGTCCTCGGCATCCCGAAACTGGATGGTGGTCCCATTTTTCTTCAGTTTGACACTTGTTCGAATGTAGAAGTTGGACAGCTCCATTCGGGACAAGCAAAAAATCATCTCTGAGGCACCTCGTTGTTCACATGGTGGCTGGGCCATGCCAGGGAAGATCTGGTCATCGTTAATGTTTAGCGGTTGCTTGGTATCCCAACTGTTGGGCGAAATGGATATACCCGTGCCTGATGTTTGTCCGGCATATCCATCCAGGGGTAGCAGTTGCCAAAAGAGCCGCCGACGCATCTGGACCTCAAATGGGGGCAATCCGAGGCTTTCGCCGTCCCGGTGCAGCCCCATGCGCTGCGCTAGGCGAATCGCAATCCCTGTCAAAATCCAAAATGTGTGTGAATCGATCTGAGTGCGCAAGGCGATAAGGAAGAGTGTGTAAGCCTGCAAAATCGACATCGCGGTCGTCTTGAGCCACGACGCATTGACCAGTGCCTGGATAACTGCGGTCCGATATCTGGACATCAACTGTCCCCTCGAAGTATTAAACTCGCACAAACAGTCGGCATCCGACATGGAGAACACGGCGAAATAGTAGATGACAAACATCAGGCATTCATCGTTCTTCGGGGCGGCTGCCGGATGCTTAGAGACGGAGTCGAACATCTTGGCGACTGTCGGAACATGAAGAATCTTGCAAAGAGGCTCGACGTTCTGCACATAGGCATGCCAGAGCTTGGCCGCTTGCTCGTAGCTAGGGTGTAGGTCGGTGAGGTTTTGCATGCTTCCGCCCGAGATAGTATTTGCAACGAGAGCGCCAAGAAGACCCGTCAGGGAGCCTTCGTCGGGGCCGGTTTCGTCGTGGTGGTAATCTTCTTGCTCGGACTCTGATAACTCACACAGGTCCCCTTCCCCGGCGTCCAGGAGCAGAACATTGTCAATGTAGCGAGACCTGCCCTCACTGGAAAACACTTTGCCAGTGGTAGCGCCGGGTTGCGAATCTGGCAACACTGGAGTCGGGGCCCGAGTGCTGATCGCCGAGGGTTCCGTGTCTCTGCCGCTGGGGGTCGAGGCAGCGGCCGTCGGGAGGAGGTTGTGGTCGTGTAAGATGCGCTCGTACCGTGCTAGACGGTCATGAACGTTTTCTTCGCCCCGGCTGCGCTTCCTCTTGCGCGGCGGCTGATAGACGCACTGGAGCTTCGCTTTGCTGCAACTGGCGCACTTCGGCACCGTGCGGTTACACTTAATCTTTTTTCGTACACAGGATTGGCAGTTAAAGCGCATCGCAGACATCCGGTCGGTATCGGAGGAGCCATTGAGCGCATCGAGGGAGGCCCTTGCGGGGGCGGGAGCAAGCGGGACAAGACGGGAGACGACCGTGGTATCCGTGATATCCTCCATTGCTGGGGCACATGCTCCAGCTCTCACAGGACGGCTTCGGCCGTTTTCTGTTTTCTGTTTTCTGTTTTTGGTATTTTGGGATGGTCTTAGGGCTCCGAAATGCGCCCGGGGACTCCAGAAGATGACTAAACGGGTTTAGAGGCGCCGAGCGGGGCGATAAAAAAAAAAGAAAGACGCGATAACATTTCCCCCACAGTATATAGAATGTCCCTCATTTCACGAATTGACCACATGTTTTGTGCTTTTCATGACATCTGATCTAGCATGACAGTCCGAAATCCTCTTCCACTCTCCGACGAGTGGAAGGATCCTGACGAATATGTCAAAGCCCTCCTCTCTTTCGCAACCGAGTCGGTCATGTTCATGAACCTTTGCGGTGGCGTGCATATCCTCGATTTCCTGACGCGCGATCCCGATCTGTACACTTCACTACTGCCAGAAGACTGGCGATCATTCTTTGATCATCACGACATCCACAGCATCTTGCAACTGCTGCTACGAGAGGACATTGACCCGCTGTGCGAAACCGCCGAAACAAACGCAGACACCGGGAATGGCAGGACATGGAACGGAGGCACGTTCCCGCCCACAAGCCTTCTCGAATACATTCGCAACATCCGACGACTGAGCTTCCGCCGCGAGTACACCACATCTGAGAAGAGTGAACCCCTCCCGAGACATATTGCTGTTGGCATGAACAAAAAAAAGAAGCACGAGGTTGAGGAATTCTCTCGCTATGTCGCGTCTTTGTCAGAGACGGTAAATGAGCGTCGCGGGGAACCATTATCTCACATTGTCGATTTTGGGTCGGGACAAAGCTACCTGGGGCGCATGCTGGCAAGCTCGCCCTATCATAAACATATCATTGCTATCGAGCGAAAGCACCAATACATCAGCGGTGCCAACCGTATGGATGTTGTTGCTCGACTAACTACGGAAGAAAAAAAAAGACGATACACAATGCAAAGTTAAACAAATTGAAGAAGCAATGCAGCGTCTGTACCGACACCCCCGAACTAGCCCCAGATCTAGGCCTTTCGGAAAAGCCTGAAGTTCCTAGCTTGGAGATGGAAGCACCACTGGGATCGAGCGATTCAGTGCCAGAAGAACCTGCTGGTCAGGATGAAGATACCACGGTCTCTAATATTCTAGGCGATATGACTCTAGAAGCCGATGATGTGCTCGACTCGACGTACAGAAAGCCACATGTGCCACATGTGCCAAAGGCACAACCGAAGGTCGATACCAGGGGCACAGTCAGCTACATAGAACATAATATCCAAGATGGCTACCTGGAACCGATCATTGAGCACGTCGTCGACCCAAAAACATCAGTTGAAACCCGGACCAGCACAGAAGAAGTCATCATCCAACCCGAAGAGAAGAAACCAAGTGACGCCCGGGTGATGGTGGTCTCTCTACATTCATGCGGAAACCTCGTCCACCACGGACTCCGATCACTAGTGCTCAACCCTTCTGTTGTGGCAATCGCCATGATTGGCTGCTGCTACAACCTCCTGACAGAACGATTGGGGCCAGCAACATACAAAATCCCCATCCTTCGATCCCTGCACCCCCGCCTCAAACAAACCGGATCGTCATGGGACCCGCACGGATTCCCAATGTCCAAGCTTTATGAAAACTACCACGCAAAGACCACAAAAGGCCTCAAGCTCAACATCACAGCCCGCTCAATGGCCTTACAGGCACCCCACAACTGGGGCCGCGCCGACAGCGAAGATTTCTTCACACGTCATTTCTACCGCGCTTTGCTGCAACGCGTTCTTCTAGATCGCGACATCATCCCTAAACCCGACATCCCCGACGATCTCTATAAAGACGACGCGGACAACCCCAACTCGGAGGGTATAGCGCTGATCGTGGGATCCGTGCGAAAGTCCGCATTCGAGTCTTTCACCGCGTATGTGCGTGCTGCAACGGTCAAATTGAGCCGTGATCCCACACGTGGCGAGTTGGTCAAGGAGCGCGTCTGTACCATGTCTGAGGAAGAGTTGCAGCGCTATGAAAAAAGGTACTTGCCCACACGCAAGAATCTCAGTATCGTGTGGAGTTTAATGGCGTTCAGTGCTCAGGTTGTTGAGGCTGCTATTGTTGTTGATCGCTGGCAGTTCTTGCGCGAACATGACTCTGTCAAGGAGTGTTGGGTTGAGCCTGTGTTTGAGTATGGTAAGAGCCCGCGCAATCTGGCTATTATTGGGATCAAGAAATGATTCCTGTTGCATTTTTGTTCTCGGTCGCATTTAGATACGGCTGGGAGTTTGTGCTTTGGAGGCTTGGGCATTCTGTGGGTTCCAGGAGGACTCAGTACATAGTGGGATGATCTACATTTGTACATCGATGCCTAGGACGTGGGTTTCGGGGGCATATCTCTTGGACTGTTGCAGGCCTAGCCTCACAATGCGGACGGCAATTAGGCCACGGCAGGCCTTGACGTTGCAAGTTCTTGTTCTGTGGTACACTATATGCACTTTCGAAATATGTACTTCCGTAAGTAACGGCAGAATCCTAAGGTATCAAAGGCCATCTAGAGGGAATGGCCATAACCTCCGGACTTCATCTGGGATTTTGTTAAGATCTGGCTTGGAAACATAGTAGTCGAACAACATCTTGTTCCGAGACCTCATCTCGGTGAAATCGTACTCTGGGGGAATCCAGCCGTCATCATCAGTATCAAGGAGTTTCTTCACGAAGCTGCGTATTTCCTGCCATTCTTCATAGGCCTGGAACTCCTTCTCGTGTGCTGCGATCTGTTCGTCATTGAAGTGGAGCGATAGATCAGCTTCGAATCCGAGCTCCCGCTGACTGCGAAAAAGTTCAATCAACGTTTCCCGGAGCGGAAGAATTCCTTCATCCCAAGTATCACCACAGCGACGGAATAGTTCCTTTAGTGCCAAGGGAAGTTGCATCGCTCTCCAGGCTTTCCTATCATTCAGGAATGTTGCAACCTCATAGGCCTTTGCCCAAGTAGCCTTTTGTTTAATATCTAAAGCAATTTCCTTGTCTTCGGCGTCCATATCTTCATAGCCAGGTGGAAGCTGAGGCATTACGTGGCCCTCTGGGTAGTCTTCCGGTGGTGTTAGGAAGATGGGCCATCGGACTTGCATAAACAAGGGACTGATAGAAGTATGCTGCCAGTCAATGAAGCCAGTGACCTTACCCGGGTCATCCTCAGCGACAAAGATATTTCCCATATGAAGATCAGTATGCCATAATGTAGGCTGGGATTGCGCTAGCAGCTTAGCATTGGTTGCCATTGCTGGCATAATTTCTTTTGCCATACCAAGGGTTATCAAATGTTCCCCTAAGGGACTATTTAAAGAGGCCGGTAGTTTCGCCTTGAGACCGTGTTGGGATTTGAGAAGTGAACGATTGATAAGAGCTTCGCCTAAGTCACCGATGGTTTTCCCTGTAAAGGTATTAGCTGTAGTTAATTAGGAGAAGAGGCAATACTTACAGGGGCCATAGTGAACATTAGGACTATGCTGCATGAGCCAGTGAGAATCACATGAAGGGCCAACGCAAAATAAACCTTCAGGATCCACAGATGGATCTAACGGGATCGATTCATGATCACTCAGGGAACCTTTGTGATATAGGCTGCCAAAAGCTGGAAATGGAATCTCAGCAAGCTCATGCTCCCATTGTGTGATACGTTTGATAATTGATATGCGGTTGATCTCGCTCATTTCATCCCATTTATTGAAGATCTGGGCCCCAGGGACTCGTTCCATCACAATGTACTCAGCACCCACGGGGTTGGTTAAGTCGGCATTCCATGCTAAGACCTTTGGCACTGGGATTGTGGTATGCGTCCTGACTGAGTCAAGGGCATCTATAAGTTTATGCATTGACGGTATTCATATAAGAGATCAAACTTACCGAAGTCCAAGACCGCAACCTCAGATGCTGTGCAGTACCTAGGCCTTCCTGCATTCGAGCACGGGATCTTGACGATGTATTCGCCGCCATCGAGGGTTGTCATAAGAAGGGCCTTGCTGAATCCGCCCTCCATCTTGTCTATGCTTGAAACCTGCTGTGCCCCAGTTCCGGAGATGTTTGCGATCACATCACATAACCGGTCAATGTCGAAACGAACATAGCGCTTCGATAGCTGGCTTTCTTCCTCGGAAAGAAATCGGCCATTTGTGTATTTAAACAGCTCTTCTTTGGAAATTGGATGTCCTATGATTTTATTAGCGCTTCTGAATTATGTGACTTGTACACAGGTAATACCTCGAGACGTAATAGATAGGTATCTTTTGGACGTGTCGAGAAATACGCTTCTATGAGGAGGTCGAAGCCTCAAGACGTTCCTTAAGGCTTGCATGTCGAGAATTCGTGGTTATGATACGTACCTTGAAGGGAGGGTTGCAACATGGACTGAGGATACGAGGTCGAAGGGGACGGGGCTGGATTTAGATATCACCTGGGCAACACCGCGCATATTAGGGATATTACCTAAGCCCGGATCTCAGCCCTGGAGCAGTGAAGCCCTACCAGGGGAGAAAACATGGGCGAGCCATACTTAATTCTGGACGAGGTTTAAAGATTTTATCGGGTCTATGAAAGTAGATTCTACTAGTGAAAGTGTACAGTGGGACCTCCAAAATATTGGGCTAAACCTTTGTACCCAGATATACCGCCCTCCAAAAGCTTACATTATGGAGGTCAGGAAACACCTTGAAGGTTCTCAAAATAGACGATTGTGTCTATCGATGGGTCAGGAGATTTGAGAGCTACATTCCCACTAGTCGATGGGACTCGGAGGTGGTAAGGGGCACTGGTGAGGTCACTACCCCTTTGGCAGCACTCTAGACAATACCGTTTCCAATCAAGGCAAGAAGACGAGCAAGCCACATGTGGCAGACATGAAAGGACTAGTCGTCTAGACCAGTCTTACACGATAGCAAGCTGCTGTCTCTGTTCGAAAAGTTCCCCGAGAGAAGATGGACATCTTGTTGCCGATCCTCTCATCCGATCTTTTACCTGTATTATGGCTCGTGGAACGTTGCATGGGCTCGTGGCGAGAGTCTGCGTTTCGCAGGACTTTAATAGCGTCGGTTTTAATAAACTTGCCATGTCGTGCAGTGGTGGTGATCATACGATGAGGAGTTGATTAAGACGGAATCAACGGTCAATGTATGAAAGGCCGAAGATAAAGTGGTCAAGGATGCCAGGAAGTAGGAGGGGCAGAGAAGACAGGAAATGTGAAGGAAGTTCCGAAATGATTCAGATTGCTGAGGTTTTACTCCTCCATACACATAACACCTTTCTTCACCATCCCCCCCTCGCGTCTAGTCCCTCACTCCCCCAGCCAGACCGCAAAGAATCTCTTTCGCCACTACGGAAAGGAAGCCAACTGGAGCCATCGCCCAGCACACACCCGGCCTTGTTAGTCGGAGATGACGAGGACCAGCCAGCATGTTGGGCGCGAACTGCGCTCCAGCACCCACGGACTCGTGGGAGACGTGTTCGTCAACAACCGGGGACCCTGCTCCATACACTCCAGAACCTCATACCTTGCCGTAAAACCGGGTTACGCAGTATACTTTAAGAGAAGCTATATTGTTGATCATTCCAGAATGGTGTACATACAAAGTATTGAAGCTATTCCCGGCCCACAAAGATCCACATCCCCACATTCTTAAGCGTTGACTTTGCTCCATCGCAATCAGGAGCAACCAGTCCATCATCTTTGACCTCGCCGACTGTCTGAAACGCCTTTCTCTAGCCTTGGAAGCTTTTTCAACTTTTGATTTCAGATCATGGCGGCGAAGAAGGTAAATATGACGTTGGGCATCGCGGTATTATGTTTGTTGTGTTTGTTTATTATTCAAGTAATTACGCCTATATATAAATTGCCAGAAATAGGGGTCATAAAAGCCAGAGTCTTTGACATCACCTAATTGGCCAGTAACAAGTTGTATTTCAACAGTGAGGTGTTGCCTCAGGCACCATAGATGGCCCAAAAGTCCATCTCCCTTCATTTCTTTCAGAACTTTCCCTTCTTTTCCTCTTCTGTTCTCTCAGAACTCTCTTCCCTTTTTATCCTCGCAACCTTCAAGATGACTGATATCTCTCAGATTTTCAAAGGCACTCAGATCGCCCTTCCTGGCTCCGCAGCTCTCCCCCTGAACGCGAGTACATGGGTGATCGACGAGAAGCTTTATGAGAATAGAGTCGATGGAGTGCGTGAGCCTACTTCTGATCCCGACGAACAACCATCCGGTTGGGAGGCTAAGTATCTATGTCACAATCACCATTTCCCATATAATCAAGCGTTTATGAGAGTCTACTGTCAAGGTCCCGATGAGGGAACAGAATTCCTTCTGCCGGAAGCTCGAGCCCAACAGGCAAATCCTCATTTTGAAAAGCAGGAAGCTAAAGCTCGGAAGAAGTTCAGACAAGGTGGATGCAAAAGTGTGCCTTCACTACTTGGATATGGCCAATCCGTGCAAGGGGAACACGGACCTGTACCTGGAGGATACATAACCTATCTTGTTTGGGAAAAGGTCCGCGGACAGGTCCTCACTCCGGAACTATTCTGGTCATTCGAGCGACCAAAACGTGATCTCGTTCGCCGAAAGTTCCGGGCTGCATATGAGTAAGTGCGGAGTTACGTCCTGGAGATCATGCTAACGCAAAATCAGGGAAATGTCGTCCTTTGGCTGGGGTCCAGGAGGGGAGAATATCACAAAGATTATATGGGACAAAGAATCCGCCGATCTATGGATCTCGGGGTTTCGCGGTTCGTATCCAACTGACGAAAAGTGGGAGGATTGCATTCTGGCTTATTACCGCTTGATCAAGCCACCCGCGTCCGGCGTTTGTGAGAACCTTGATGAATGGGCGTGGTGATACAGGTTTCTATTGGTGACAGGGGAGAAATCCTCGAAGGTAAACTCCCCTCTTTTGAAGGTGCGAGTAATAGTCTAGTGTCTTCCAAGGTTCTGCTTCTTGATCAATCCAGTTCTTAACGATCTCCCGAATTTACGTTCCCGCGTATTCAAAGCTCACTGGATACTCCTCCAGTAAGCTGCTTTGTTCTCAGATATCTTCATTTTCTGCCAGCAGAAGACCAGACATCTTCAGGCACTAAATTAGTCATTGATGCCAGGGGGCTCTGAACCTCCGTAGTCGGCCAAGAATATCTGTGTTTGGAAGAGAGTTTGCAGATCATTCAAACTGTATACATATAACTACATTTGAAGCTTACATCAAAACTATGGCCGTCATCCGACATCGCCACCACCCGTAAAGACAATTGGAGCACACTCAGGGAGTTACAAGGGTGAGTTGACGATTCTCTAAGTTCACGACTACTCCAGATAGTCAATTACGTTGAAAGTAACCAGGAAATTTGAGTAGGTTGACAAGTTTCATTGGAGACTGAATAAAGTGCCAAGTCAAGGCTTCTAGACATTTGATCACACATCCGACAAAGGAAAGGGATCCACTCGCATAAGGAGTTTTGTCTTCAGAGATACAGTGAAGGGGCGAGATAGGTCCTGGTTGCTATGCAAGCTAATCGCTAAGGTGCTAATGCTAGGATCTTGCACAAGGACCAAATGCGCTAAGCCACAACCCTCGTAAAGCTTGCTCGCCACTTGAACCGCTTATACGTATAGTGCAATCCCGTACCTGTTTCCATAGCTCCAGCACGATCATCATTCCTTTTCCGGGCTTCCAACTTCGGTGAAGTAGGCCGGCTTAGAAAATTAAGCCTCTATCATCTTCACAAGATAGGCTGGATTGGAGGAACGGAGCATATCTTTAAGCATCCTAACGATTGCTGCTCTCTCTTCGGGAGTAAGACCAGCGCCACGCATTTCCGAACAACAGCTGCAATCTATCGTACAATGTCCAATGCCCTTTGTCCGCTGGGTCGTCAGGTTGCGTTTTTGACAACACCTACAGCTCCGACCGCAGCAACCGTCTCTTTCAGCACAGTCTTTAACTAGCTCGGGTCGGCAATACCACGTTGGTTTCTCTCTGAGGGCGTCATACATCTGTTTCAAAGGTCGGTGAGAAAGAAATGCTTCGCATCTGTACAGTGCATGCTGCTCCATGTATATTTTTTTTGGAGGCCCTGTATCTCTTCCTCCCATTCCTTCATCTTTGTCTTATCCTCCGGAGTGGACACTGGCTGTTCAAGTTTTTTTTCGATGCTATCGCAGCGCTGGACAAGTCCTCGCAGAGTCATCTCGGCGACTATGACCTTAACGAATACATCGCGCGGTAATTCAAGCGTTTGACATTTGATCTTATAATTATACCCGCCTGAGGCGTCCACATTGACGGGCTCAAAATTCCCCCAACGGAGTAGATGTTAGCAAAAATAGTAAACGCAAGACCAGTATGTATTGACTTTCGCAAAAATGTGTAATGCACATATGTAGGAAGAATGAAGTTGGGTTGAACATAAATCAAAGAGAGCCCTAAAGTTGCTCTTTGGGTGTCGGTCAACTCAACGCTTGAACCGCGGTTCTTTTGCCTCTACACCAAAGCATCATAAGATCCTTACCTAGGTATCTTCTTGTCTAGATATGTGACATCCATGATGCGATGTGACGCAATAAGCCCTGGAGTCGTCCGTGTAAAGCTTCATTTGAAAGGTTGAGTACCAGCCCTACGCAGAGTGTAAAAGAACATTTGCTTAATATTTCCGTACGAGTACCTCATTTATCCCAGAATATCATCAAAGGGGCAAGCCGCTAACATATCCATGTTCTCCTGAACAATATTCCAAGGAATTACATCAGAAGGTGTTAGGTTTTTGTAGCCACTGGCGGATCTGCAAAAGAAAAGATTGAGCTCCGAATAACGCCCGTCATATGAGAAGTCCCCCCCAGGCGAGTACTTGAAGGCGTGGGAGACCATCAGCGCTGAATGCCCACTGCGCAAAATCTTCAACTTCATTGGGTTTGTATGGCAAATCTGGTTCAACTTTAGATTCCATCAAGCACCACTTGGCTCTACTCTTCGATAAGTGGAATCAGCTTACCGTCGCCATATTCGTAAGTATAAAGAGCCATAAAAGGATAGCTAGCCTGTTTAAAGAAAGGCTGCCTAAAGCTAGTCAGTCTCTTAAGGACTACCCCGCTTGTCCTCAAGTGTATCAATTTGCATGACGGCTTGGGATGCATCCTTTGGAAGTGGCTGGCCTAGTCATCTGTTAGTGATCATATTATGTTCAATCCGAAGATTCATGACAATTGCATACTAGAACGTCGGGCGAAATGGAAGACCCAAAGAAAGTTAATTGCTTTTCTTGTAGTAAATGTTCCAAATGTATGGGCCGTGGTATATCGCCATCGATGAGGTTCTGACCACCTCTATGCACCAGGTGGTGCATAACAAAGCGCTTGAGATGACGATGGTTTGATAGTCTATCTGTGAGGGTGGTCCAATCAAAAGGTTGAGGAAGCGTTAGGTAGAGAGTGTCTAAGTCGGACATGTGTTGAATGAAATTGCAAATAGTCTCTGTGATATAGAGGTATGCATCTCTCTCTCTCTCAATACTACTGAGGTCGAGAGCAAGTTCGAAGGATTTTAATTTCATTGGCTTTCCGGAATTGACTATTATTCGTAAGCAGTCAAGAGACCCTTGGCAGTTTCGTAATTTTAGACTCTTTAGGCTCCCGATATTGAAAGCGTAGACCATTGCTAGGCCCGTATGATAGAAAGACACTGCCGACAGATGAAGATTCTCGAGAGATAGGAAGAGAACCTTTTCGTCCCGAGGGTGGACATTCAGCACACCTTGCGAGAAAAAGTTTTCGGGGGTCCTTCTGATATGGGGGTTCTTTTCGCGGAATCCATCAGTCCAGATTTTCTCCGCACGAACCCAGGTCAAAAGGTCAAGTGTAAGTGATTGGATTCGATGGCAATGAACTTCGACACATTTTCTGACGGATTCGAAATCATTATACCGATTCAACCCAGATAGGACAAGTGAGCGATATAGATGTGGAAGGGCGACATCATGGAGATGTTTACAAACTTCACAAAGCCGCTTTAGGTCCCCACGGCAGGGGATCTTCAATGATAAGCCTGCGGAAATAGGTTGAAGGGCATGTTGGTTTACCTCGCAATTACCATATCCAGCAATTCCAATGGAAGGTCGGCCAGCATATTGATTATTGTTATCTCCGGCGAGTACTCTCGGGTAACCCAAGGTTGGAGAGCGGGAAGTGGGGAACCGGCCAAGAGTGATTCGGGGGCGGTGACAGAATTGTCGACCGCCCGATGCTATCAAGATTTATCTTGTTCCGCAACGCTCTCGCAGTGTTTGATGATCCAGGGGTGTTGTCGGACTTTCTCCAAGGAAATTCTCTGATCCGAATCAAGGATAAGTAGCTTGATTGTTGTTAGCAGTCGGTTACTATTGTTTTGGAAATGTCTTCACCTTTTTGATAAGATCTGTGGCTTCAGGACTAACGAAAGAAGGAATTGACATATCTCCTTTCGCGATTCGCCTATGTGTCATATTGGGTGTGTCCTCAAACGGTGCCCTTCCGACTAGGAACTCGTACATCAAGACCCCCAGAGCCCATATGTCTACCTTTTCATTATAAGGCTTCGAGCTTCTCTTCGGGTCGACCATCTCAGGAGGCAAGTAGTCCAGTGTTCCACACATCGTAAGCCTGCGCCCACTTGGTGCATGAACACTCCACCCAAAATCGGACATCTTCAGTTCCCCGTGTAGACCAACGAGAATGTTCTCGGGTTTTATATCTCGGTGAATAACGTGCTTGCGATGTAAATATCCTAGCGCGCTAGCCATTTGTGCAATGTAGCGGGCTGCCTTCCATTCTGGAAAACGGTCTTGTCTTTGTAGGTGCTTGTATAATTCCCCTTTGCCGGCATACTCGAGAATCAGAAATATTCGTTTTCGATCGTGAAAGTGACCGTATAGTCGTAGGACGTTCGGGTGACGTAAATTGCTCTGAATCTCGATCTCACGAGCCACCTGTTTTTTCGACTTTTCCTTGTCGGATCTCGTCCTTATGTAGCACCTTTAGCGCACAAATGAAACCAGTCTCTCTTTCTCGCGCAAGATATACTCGTCCAAACTTCCCTTTTCCTAGAGGTCGGCCAATTTCGAACATGCCCAGATGCAGTTCTTTGGGGACAGGCTGTTTGATAAGCTGAGCAGAGTGTTCTTCTGCCTTCGCCGCCGCATTAGGCTGATCAACAAAAACAGGTGGTCGACCTTTTGCTTTAGCCACCTGCGAAGACACGTTCTTTGTGGCTGTGACGTGTTGCTCGACATCATAAACATGGTGTCTTTGTGTCTCGAAAGCTGTACCTTGTGTCTGCGACACAACAACGGAGAGGGGATGCCGAGCCCTGGCAGGCGCTTTTCCGTCTTTGGAGTCAGGCACTCGGGAGGCGAGTGTGGTTTGTTGCTTAGTACCAGTGTTGGGGCGCTTATCCACCTTCGGCATTTCATCCGTCCGCGTCGAAAGAACCGAGGGGGGTGTTCGGGCTCGGCGAAGAGTCTTTCCGCCATCTCCTTGAGCCACTTGAGAAGCAACGGGATCGTCGATTGTGCACTTTTGTTTGTACGAATTGGGCTTGGAGCTTTCTGCTGGCCGTGTTTTGCCCGATGAATACGTGCTTGGGTTCGCGACCTGCTGTATGTTAACTGTGCCCTCAAGACATGTAAGTCATGGGTCGTAGTTACCTTGGTGTTCTGGTGTAAATCGATCCCATCTTGCCCGTCACTCTCATGAACCGACAAATGCTTGAAACGCGCCTCGAGTGCCTTTGTCGCCATACTGGTTTCCGCTACGTTACAGTTTCACCCCTGAGATCAAGGAAACCGATGTTCTCGGGGAAATGCTTTCGTTGAAATCCCTAGGAAGCTTGTGCTGATGGTAAGTAGAATTGTGGGACCTGAGCTAATTCAAGGTTAATTCCAAGGTTATGTCCTGTTATGAACAGACAACTGCCTGTTGCTACGGCAACCAGTGGCCTCATGGCTCCTATTGGCTGTTTCACAGATTGGGTGATGGATACATTTCCAATGTTATCCATGGATGTTTTGGCAGTTGACCCACCTGGGCACGGAACTGCACCTTCTCAGCAATTTATCCTTTGATTCGATTATCGGACACCTGGAAAGGCTCCTCATCGACGACATACTATTGAGCAGGGAAAATCTCAGGCAAACTCTTTGAAACGAACAGTGTCATAAAACCGCTGGCTGTCACGGTAAGCAAGTTATAAGGATATCTCACAAGAGTATCAGGCGTTTCCACTTCAATTTATGTCGACTTGTCTAAAAAGTATAAAGCCTGGATATCTCTGATCTCCCTTTATTCGTGGAGAGATTGAGGATGGATCGTCCTTGATTAGGTCTTCTAATAAAGCCAGCCTTGATAGACACAGAACCGTAACAATTACTTCTCCCGCCCATGAAGCCATCACCTTTGGTCAACCGGCTATACATCATAAGCTGCTCAGTACATATAAGATATCTGCCCACTCCAATACCAGAAATCTAGCCACTTCAATTTATAGTTGTTTACCATCACCCAGACATTGTATTGTACCTTTCCCTGCCACTTTCCAGCGCTAGAACAAGACCCTACCGATTTCGCTGACTCCCGTGTAACAAGATATATAGCGCAGCTCTCTCCATGTGCTTGTTGCATGTCGGTGTCCATACATGTGCCCAGGATGTGGATGGGAATAGAGCATTGCACTATCACGCTGCCGCGTTGGATGGGGCCCAAAGGGCTATGCAACTGCCACAGGAGATGCAAGGAGGTGAAGATTCTACAATAACAATCAGGACCGACGGGATTGACGCCGCGCGCCTTGGGGGAAGATTCTAACGAGGCGTGATATGGGCAAGGAAGTTCATCTTTCGCGTATCGCTTCTGGGGAGCATCCGAAGGGGTGAAAAGACATGAAAAGCCACAAAGAGTGTTAAAGCAATACACTTAGATAAAAAATTAGAGTTGCATTTAAAAATAGAGATAATGATACTACTATCGTCTCCAAGGAGATATACAGATCTTCGAAGTGCTGAGTGAAGGGTGAGTTGACTTCAGGCATAACTATTTATCCAGGCCAAAACTACGCAGTTGTCCCAACCGCCCACCCTAGAAATCAGTCAGCAACTCCCGCCTCCGCTCCCTCGCCCGTGGACCAACCCGAGGCCGAGAACTATCAACACCACACCCAATACCCCATGCCGCAGCCATGGAGCACGCAGACCCATTCCTACAAGTCCAAGCGTAAGCTCTACAAACCCCAAGACACATAACGCCAACTAACCACCGAAAAACCAGCGACGTCGTCGCAACACTACAAACGAGCCGACCACTCTTCTCCTCATATCTCCGCATCCGGTCTCTAGCCAAAAGCCCATCCAACCCCGAACTCAAGCAAGCGCGCTCAGAGCTCGAAAGCACCTTAACAGAGCTAACAGCGGACCTAAACGACCTCGTCGAAAGCGTACGCGCAATCGAACAAGACCCCTACCGCTATGGACTGGAACTAGAGGAGGTGCAGCGGCGGCGCAAGCTCGTCGACGATGTCGGTGACGAGGTCGAGAAAATGCACCAGGAGCTGCAGCAGGCTGTTTCCAATTCTGCCGTTGATACCCTGCCCAATCCCACTGAGTTTGATGCTGCGCTTGACGAGGAGGAGCGCGGTCGTGGCGGGGAGGATTATTATGCTTCGATGGAACAGCAGCGCCAGTCGGAGCTTATGCATGAGCAGGATGAGCAGCTTGATGGGGTTTTCCGCACTGTTGGTAATCTGCGCCAGCAGGCTGATGATATGGGTCGGGAGTTGGAGGATCAGGCTGTTATGATTAATGAGGTTGATACGCTGGCCGATCGGGTTGGGGGGAAGTTGTCCAATGGGATGTCGCGTATCAAACATATTGTGCGCAAGAATGAGGGTAAGAGATTGTCTTCTTTTTTTTTTAGCCCCGTTTACTCCGTCTATACTGGATCTCTATCTCTACTGCGGGTCTCTACTCCGATGATGGTCTGGTCTGGTATGGGAATCTCAAGTTCAAACTAACTTTTCCGACTAGATACATGGTCCTCGTTTTGTATCGCGGCACTCATATTCGTCCTCGTCTTATTATTAATCCTCCTCATTGCACTGTGATAATACAAAATCAAGGTGTTAGGTAAAAGCAAAAATCATCAAAAGGGGGGATCATGGCGTTTCAGGTGCAAATGGTTTACTTGCGAGCCTTCTTGCTCGGGCGCGACTCACTTTCTTCATCAGAGTCGTCTCCGTCCATTTCCTCCATATCGAGGTCCATATCTTCGAGCTCCTCGCCGATCTGGAAGGATTGAACTGCGGTCAAAGTTAGTGGGGGGCAAACATCTCACTCGCCATCTGGGATCTACATACCGTAGTAGCTGAGCGCATCGGGCCAGAGGTCCTCGGCAATGGCAACAGCAAGGTCATCTCCATCGGGAAGATGTCGATCTCCTCAAGTCCCGCGGAGTCATCCTCCTCATCCTCGTCGTCGGATTCACCAGCATCCTCGATCTCCTCGCCCTTCTGGACCTTGACCCAGCGAGACTCGATCTCCTTAGCAGCCTCCTTGGACTGAGTAGCGGAGACATCACGGCCGCGGTATCCGAAGAATCCGAAGAAGCTCATGCCAACAGGGCTGGGGTCCTCGTCATCCTCATCATCCTGGGCATTGGCAACCTCATCCTCAGCCTCCTCAACCTTCTTAACAAGAGCAGCGTACTCGGGCAACTTCTTGCGGTCACCGCCGTGCTTCTTCTCGGCCTCGAAAAGGTCACAAGCAGCATCGAGCATGCCTTTGGTCAGGTCCGAATCCTTCTTCCAGTTGATGCGGACGGGCTCGGAAACCAGTCCCTCCCAGGTGCGGGTCTTGCCAGCGGCGTTCTTGGAGACCTCCTGGCGCCAGTAGAACTCCTTGACGAGCTTCTCGTTGGTGAAGAAGGGGTTCTCCTCACCGGTCTTGAACTCAAAGGTGAAGCGCAAGCTGCGGGGCTCGCCGTTGCCTTGGGCGTCGAGCTCGAATCGCTCAACGTTCATGTTCTTGAGACACTCGCCGAGCACTTGGGCATCGCTGGATAGAATGTACTCGTCGATCTCGGGGGGAGCACTGGCGAACACGCGCATCCAGAACTCAGCCTGCACCTCGGGGATGTTGATGATCTCGCTGCGCTTCTGGATCAGAGGGGTCATGAGCTTGACAGAGTGGCGCACTGTGTGGTGTATGTTAGCAATTGGCTCATGGGTAACTACGCTTCTCAATGACTGCCATTGTCTTGTTCCTGGTAGAGTAGACTCTGCAAGCTGTTTTACTTGCCCCACCATAACAATAGAGAGAGAAACTAGGAAACCTTTGGAAACATACACTGTTCAACCTCAGCACGAGAGAACTGCTCCTCCAGAACAGCAATCTTCTTCATAGCAGCCTCGGGGATGCTAGGCATCTCGACGCGGTCAAGGAGCGACTGATCGTTAGACATAATGGGTATTCGTAAATATGGGTCGTAAAATAAAGCAGACAAATACACAGGAGTGTTATAGAGATAGAAGGAATAGAAGAATGGAGGAAGAAAAAAAAGATCAAGAGGGAAAAGGAAAACAATTAAGGGACGGCAGAGGGGCAAAAAAAAAAAAAGCTATGCGCATCTGGATGGAGAGGAGCTAGGGAAGCTACATGATGATACTTGTTGGTACTTCCTGTTCCATGGTACTACAGCGGAGAACTCAAGTATCTCTGTGTACCCAAGTGTCCGGGCAATGGTGGGGGGGATACTCGGCCTCAGGTGTCGAGTACTACATCATACAAATTCAGAGAAAACTCTGACGCTGATCTTTGTGGATCTCAAGGTGTCCAATGTTAGTATTCGATGATAGAACGTTCTGGTCAGTAGTTCTGGTTGGCGCTAGTGAGGACTGGAATTTTGGTATGTTGTGAGGGGTATAGCTTCATGGTGGTAGATGGAGTTTGTAGTATACATGGTATAGGGTGTTAATTGCTGAGAGATATTCAACTATCTTCATTCTATTCAACTTTTGATTCTAATTTGACATATGCAGGAGACAGCAAAGCTCACCGTATGTCTATAAGAACTTTCAATTGGAGCCCCAATGCATACATTTCCACCAATCAGTAGTATATTTTAGGTAAATATCCATTCGGCTCTATGTCTAATAGGATAGTAACCCTACCTTGCACTTTGTAGACTCCTAAATTGTTATATCACATCTCATCTCCGCAAATACCATAACATGCACCGCCACTCATAGCCACACCATAATCAGACTCAACATGCTCATCTCGACCCCTCCGATAAGACAAGAGAAGCGGGGACTCAAAGGGAAAAAGCAAGCATACCTAGGTATAAAGTAAACTAAAGATAAGAAACTTAGAGAGAATACTTTATTTTGACGGCGATTCATTCTCCAGGTCGATTCATACATAGGGGTACATACATAGGGGGTATACACTGCATAATTATACCCGTACACTTTTACATTCCAAGGTTCTAGATTGTATGTTTTATAACTGAGGCCCCCCTCTGCCAACTCAATTCTTTTCCCGGAGTCCGAGTCTGTCACGTTCCCCTCATCTGATTCGTCCATGCATAGCCCAGTTAGATAAGAGGAGCGGTCTGCGTGTCGAGCGAACCAACGTGAACGCACGGGACCTGCAGGACTGGTCAATTGGGGCGGGCACGAGGCACGTTGTGCGATGATACCAATTAGAGAGACGAAAAAGAGTCGGGGGATGAGTCCCCGGTTCTGATCTCG